AGGGGAAGAAGAGGAGATGGGGAAAGAGAAACACAGACAAAGGAGGGAAAGGGGGAAGGAGGGAAAGGAAGAATTCAGCTTCTGTAAGGACAATAGGGGTCATCCTCAAAGAAACAGGTGACTTCATGGGAACTGAAAGAGCTTAACACTGAAAGATAGTATAAAAAGTAAATACTATAATTTAGCCACAAATATCTAAAATTTCTATAGATCAAATTTACTAAAAATAAAGACAAATGGCAAAAAAAAGACTACATAAAAAGGTTTTATAATTTTACTATTAGATTGAGCAAAAACAATTATATAAATACAAAAGATGAAAACAGGCAACTCTGAAGAAACAATCTGCTTCACTAGGATAGACACTTTCTTCCTTAAAAAAAAAGGGAGTATATGAGGAAAATCACTGTATGAAGGACAAAAAGGTAATTAGGACACAGAGAAGAACAAGCCACAATGAAGTTAGTTACTGGAATTTGAGTATTAAAGCCAGAACACACCAAGAGCACTCACTGGTTTATGTATTTCCGAGTCCCGCATCATCTACCCCCCTACCCCCGGCCAGCCCTAAATCCAGTCCCTACCAGTGTCTTATCCACCTTTTGTATCCAGGTTTTTGTTTTTTCTTTTCTTTTTTTTTTTTTTTTGCTCCGAATGCCTTCAAGGCATGACTGGCTGTCTTGTGTTGTGGGGATCGAACCACAGCAACCTGAGCCTGACTGCTTTGTTGAAGCAGCCACTTAAAGAATTGAGCTAAGGGGCAGGCCCCCTGTATCCAGTTTAGCATTCAACATTACTATCAACCAGGAGCAAAGGTAAGTTACAGAAGCGACTAAGAAAAAAGAAATGTAAGAACATACATAGTGATCATTCTGGGAGAAAAATGTCTTTAAATTTATAAAGGATGAGGAAAAAGTTCCCAAGAACTATGTCTCTATATACTTTTAAAAAGCCTAATTCATGTTTCAACAGAACTCTAGCAATAACAAGTCAAACCCTGCATAATCTCTCAGCATTCTTGATTCCAGCTGCCAAACTAGGGAAACAAAAGTAAACTTGGCTCCCTTCTCTCCCAACTTGGCCCTACCGAGGCCTCCTGGTGTGCTCAGGAATTCACAATTACTAAGCAAAACAGCACTCTTGCTTGCCAAAGACCTACCAACTCTTCCTTCTTCCACTGTCCAGATTAGAGTATAGATTTTTCACTGGAGATCCAGGGACAATCTTCGAGGGTCCTATAACTGGAATAAAATATGCAGAATTAAATTGAGAAGTATCTTTTTCCAAGGAAAAGGTCAATAATTTTCGGGCCAGGGAAGATAGCTCAGTAAAATAAAGTGCTTGCCTGGCAAATACAAGGTCCTGAGTTCAATCCACGGTATCACCAAAATAAATAAATAAATAAAAGTAATAATAATAATAATAATTTTCACCTTATTTTATATCAAAGTGGCATATATCAGCCAGCCAAAAACAGTGAAAGAGCAAATTATATAACTATACTAGAGACCATCCCCCAAAAATACCCCTACTAAGTCTAAAATATGGACTTTATGATTTCTTTCTTCTACTCTTTAAGCTCTTCTCAAGAAGAATTAACCATTCACCACTAAAAAAATTAAGCAACATTAATTTTTGCCTATCAAATTAGCAATAAAACACAACAAAGCATTCTCTCAGATATACTTAGTAGTATTCTACGGTGAAGCAAATTGCTGAACAATTGTTAGTCGTAATAAAAGCCGTAGAACTGCCTGTACTCAGACTAATCATTTCACTCCCACAACATTGTAGCGAAACACTCACAGATGCATAGTGCTCATGCATGAAAGATGTTCAACAACAGAATGATTCAACATAACCGGGAAAATAATAGATGGCAATTTAAAGTAAGTTTTTAATGACATGGTGGTAACTCTTACTCAAGTGAAGAAAATAAAGTCATATATACAGGATGTTCAACTGTACAAAAATGTAAGGAAAAACTGCAGGAAAGGCTCACTGGTGGCTAACTTCTGCTCCTTCTACGATGACCACGAATTACATGCATTTATAACCAGGAACACTGAATATAAAACTTGGTGTCTAGGCAATTAGGACCCACAGAACATCAGCTACAGTGACAGCTGACAGACAAAAAAATTAGGATGCTCTGCTACCCTAGACCAATGAAGTCTCGGCAGGCAAAAACTAAAACTAAAAGGAAGGGCTTGATAAGCTTAGAGAGGCCACAATGAGCTTAAAAGAAAGGTACAAGTGACCACAGCTAAGAAATGCAGGCGTGATGATAATTAGGTTCGCAATCCTGCCTGCTCCCAGGGAACAGAGGCAAATTCTAAAATTTCTCCATGATGATTTCACTTTAAGGCCTGCAGCTCTACAACCTCACCAGTAGCACAAAAAAGGAGGCACTCAAAAAAAGTATGAAAAGATACTAAAAACATAAAGAACAGTATTTCCTAAGTTAATTAACAGGTTCATAAAAGATTGCCTCATTTTACACAGTTATCTGCTCAACTAATTCCCAACAGAACTAAGACAAAGATCCATTTATCTTCTGAGTTCAGGTAGTTTTATTAAGGAATAATTCTAACATAGTGACAAAACAGTAACATTTAAAATAGCGCCAGTTCTCACTCTTCAAGGTCTTAAATATGAAATGTAATTCTGCAATTCAACTGGGAAAGATCATAAATTGCATGCTTTGTCATGTTCCACAATCCTGTAAACACATTTCTATTAAAAAACTTTCTGTGTTCAGGTTACTGTGCTTGGCATTAGATGAGAAATACTTGAATAGAATGGAGAGTAGCTTATAAATAGCTAATGTCAATAATCTCTTCCAAATAGGCTTTAAAAATCAGAATAAAAAGAGAAAGTCCACAGAGCTCAAGGACCAAGAGTGAAAGGCTGTCCCTGGCTCTTAGGAGTACCTCTGGGTGATTCTGTTAATCTTTTTACACTTTAATTCCCTTATTTGTAAGACTGGCTTGAAGCCATTCAAGGGCATTCCTGGGGATTAGGCGTGCATGTGAAAGCTCTGAATCCTGCACAAAATGCTCATTCATTTTAGTCCTTCCTGCTCTTACACTCACAAGGAAACGAGCTGCCTTCTACACTATAAAAAGTGCCATGGTTTTTTTTTAAACTGAATATTTTCTCTTAAAAATAAAATTGTGTTTAAAAAAATGGACAGCACGGGGGCCTGCCCATGAGCTCAGTTGTTTAAGTGCCTACTTAAGCAAAGCAGTCAGGCTCAGGATTCTGTGGTTGGCGGAACCAGGGACTGAACTCAGACCCTTTCTGAGCTATCTCCCTGGCCAAAAGTTATCCTCTATTTTTTTTTTTTTTTTTTTCCCAGTACTAGGGATTGAACTCAGGCCCTTGTGCTTCCCAGGGAAGCGCTTTTCTACTGAGCTATCTCCCCGGCTCCACCCCCCCTCAAAAAAGAAAGCAACCAAGAAAACTAAGTGTAGTTCCATACTTAAGAGATAACTATGAACTTTTTTCTACATATAGACACATACACATTAGCTTTTTTTTTTTTTTTTTTTTTTACCCTCTCCTACAGAATTTACCATGTAAGTCCCTCATGGAAGGGTCCCATAACTTTGCAGACCTCCGACACAGGTCCTAACATTTCAGGACAATGACTTTCATATCTGTACCCTCTGCTAGACTCTAAGCTTTTTTTTTTTTTTTTCTTTTGTGGAACCAGGGATTGAACTCAGGTCCTTGTGCTTGTCAGAGAAGCGCTTATTCTACTGAGCCACCTCCCTGGCCCCTCTAAGGGTCTTTGAAAAAAAAAGTGAATTAGAATTCACAGGAAAAAAATTAAATCATTTATCCCTAGCCAACTAATCCAAGAGGAAGCTGCCATCACTCTCTCTGACCTTACTTGGAAAAACAAAGAGGTCACTTCATGAGATCTACCTGCCTGAAAAGGTTAAAATGTTTTAAGATGTCAGGTATGCATTTAACAGGCACTCTGCTCCTGAAAATGAGAACAAATGGCAGCTGACAATCTAAGCATTTTAACATTAAATGTTTTAAATACTACGCATAACACTCCTTCAGGCTACCACTACTCCCTCCCCCAGCACCCCAAGAGATCTGCACATTCCTAGAGAGCAATTTCCATAAAAGGCTAAATTTCTACAAGAAGAGCTAAATTAGCCTGCATTGTTAAATACTATTTTCTTAAGTAACTCTAAAATAATAATCAGTGTATAAAGTCATCAAAAAGTCATTGGAAATATTCAACTTGAGGAGTAAATTTGGTTTTTGCTACTGTCAAATATTTACTTTTCTTGAGGTAACCATTCACAAATACGGGATTTTTGTAAGTTCTGCCAAAAAAAAAAGCTTTTTTTTTTTTCTTTACTTAATATTCTGGCTAAAATTCAACTCAAGTGTGTCACTAGCAAACAAATAAGACATTACGACTGAAAAAGGATTGGGTCAGTGGTACCACACCCTCCAAACACCTCCAAATTTCTGTTCATCTGTTATTATTTCAAAATGTGTGAGATCTGGCCCATCCTCTATAACTCACTAAAGAGTATAAAACATGCACACAAATAAATGTATCACCAGCAAAACATGTAAGACAGCCTTTGTTGGAAGGCTGAGGTAGGAGGATCTTTGAGAGTTCGAGACCAACCCGGGCTAAAGTGAGCTCAAGGCCAGCGGGAACTGCACAGTGAGATCCTGTTTCAAAAAGACAGCTGCGGGCTGCTGAGATGGCTCAGTGGTCTAAAGCACCTACTTAGAATAAACTAAGCTAAGCAAATCACAGGGACCTCAGTTCAATCCCCCAGCACCACATGCCAGCCAGCCCGCCCCGCCCCCTGGTGGGCTGAGCTGGCCACACACACACACACACACACACACACAAATATAAATAAATAAATAAATAAAATTTTTTTAAAAAAAGACAGCTGCTTAAATGGAACAGAAAAAAAAAGGAGGGGGTTAAGAATGGGGGGGCAGGGAGATGGCTCAGTGGAATAAGCACTTCCCTGGCAAGTGGTTCCGTTTTTTTTGAGGGGGGAATACAATGCTAATTTTAAACACTGAAAAACTGATTGAAAAATTATAAACTCTGTAATTTAAATATTTTTATTAATTCACGCAGTCCATCAGGGTTAGAGTGCTTGGGGCCTCTGCACTTGAATCTTTTTCACAGTCAAGAATTAGATTCTCTAAAAACACAACCAGGTAGTAACTCCGCCCCATGAAAGGCACCTGCTGTTTAGGGTGGATGAGATAACGACTGGATTGCAGTCTAAAGAACAGTTTCAGGGGGCACTAGTAAAACCACCTGTGTTCCAAAATCGCTCGTTTTCCCCTTAACTTACCTAACTGGTAAAGCTCAACACTAAAGGCAAAATACAGCATGAAAAGGTAGGGCCGTGGAGCGAGCATTCGGTTAGAATTTACTGATGCTCAGCGACATGTGCAAAGGAACGCTGAGGAGGAGTTGGTATTCATGCTGAAGTCCTGATGGCCGAATGCCTTCACGCCACTTCATTAACGTGCGTGTACCCAGTAAGGATCAGTTTCTGAAATTCTTTCGGTTACACAAAGAATGGATGGGGTGGGAAGTTGGGAGAGAGGAAAGCTGAGCAGGGTTGGCGCGAGGCCCAGAACCCGCCTGCACGGGAGGGCTTGGACCGCTTCTCAACAGTCCGCACCAGCGACCCCGCCGCGATCAAAGTCACCCGTGGACCGCGCGTCTCCCCTGCATCGGCAAAGCACCTCCTTCCGACCTGGGGGACGCGGGGTGCCCACTGTGCCCCGCGCCCCCAACGCTTCCCTCCCGGAACCCCCGAGGCCTGACGCTCCTGGCCTCGGAGCAGTCCCCAGGAAGAGCCAAGATCCAGCGATAGCGGGCCGCGAGCCAGCAGCCGCCAGCTCCGCCCCGCCTGGCAGACGGCGGTGCCACATCCACAGCCCCTCCCTGCCTCCTGGCCGCCCGCTCGGGGTCGAGGATGGGCCGCTAGCTAGCCTGCGCTCAGGAGCCGCCCGCACGCCGGCCCCGCGCCCCTTCGGCCGGCGGCAGCACGTCCCACCCTCACCGCCCAGCACCGCCGGGCCAGCGCGCTACCTGACCTCGCCCAGAACCTCCGGAGATTCAAGGTGGCGACTTGCGGAGCGGAACAGCGCGGCGCGTCACAAAGCTTAAGTAGCGGCGTCGGCCCCGCCCCGGGCCATCCTCGTCTCCCATTGGCTGAAGCAGGACAAGGCACCAATCGTGGAGACCCGTGGCGGCCCCACCCTCTCCCCCCGGCAGCCGCTATAGGGCCTTCCGCATTTCCAGGGCGCTTTTGTGCTGAACTGCGGTGTTGGCGCTCCAGACGTTAGGGATCGCTAGCCTTTGCTGGCTAGAAGACGAGGTCCAGAAGTATGAAAAGGACCTTGAACTCCTGCCCCTGAGCCCCTGGGCCTCTCGTTTGTTTATTTCCCAGAGCCCTTTCCGCACCATCTACACCAGCACCACCAAGCCCCAAGCACTCTAAGCCTGATGGACTGCATAAATTAGTTGCATTTCATAATTCACTTCCAAAATCCTCACTGCTGCTGGAAAATGTATTGCCTACCTGTTTGTGGCTGTTGTTAGATACTGAAATGAGGACAGCACGCTCAGAGAACTAATATGGCAGCGCCTTCCGCAAGGGGTATAAAACAACTCAAAATAGATATTCCTAGATGAATTGATGCTCGTATCAGCAGGAATTTGGGTATCATTTAGGCTCAAACATGTGTTGCATATTAGAAAAGCGATCTAAAGAGAAAATGTAATTTACCAAGCCTTATGCAAAGGGGAATTAGGCAATCCAGTTCACTGTGCCAACCACTGCTCTCTGAAGGAGGTTGCTGGCCACTGCAGAGAAGTCTATACGTCAATACCGTGGTTCCATTGGCCTACAGTGGTTACTCAGGGGCTCATCCAGGAATTGATGACACACTACAGTTAGGAAATTTACACGTGGGGTGCCAAAGTAAAGCACAGGCTTGAAGAAGTTGGACTAGTACAGGACAGAGGGTGGTTATCAACCCTAGGCCTCAAGGTCTAGAAGCAAGATTTCCAGGACCCAAAAAAAAAAGAGTAAGAAGAAACTTCCTGCTTGGGCAAGAGCTATTAGTAATCCCATTAGACGGAGCTGGGTATTAAGCATCCCAAACTCTCCTCTCCTGTTAGGGTTTCATAGGGGGTGAAGACATTAGGTCACAGGCCTGAGGAGTCCTTTAAGGCACTCCCTACTGGTCAGCCCAGGGGACACAGCACAGAGGGAAAGAGGATAGAAGGACAATTAGAAGATATTCAACACACATAACTCACTAAGTCTTTGCTGAACAGAAAGAAAAGCCATGCTATCTGGAAGAGGGAGGGAAATAGAGTGGGCTCAGGCTGGGAACCAACCAGCCAACATCTGCTAGCCTAGAACAGGACACCTGAAGGTCATTCTGGGCTTGATTTCATCTGGACCAAGTTCACTTGCTCAGATTGTTATGGTTTTTCTCTGTCTGGAACTTATCAAGAACAGATATGGTATAATGGACTGTCTGGCAGTTAGGTTATTCTGCCCCCAGGGTCAGAAGGGAGTCAAGACTCTATGATCCTGCTCTGCAAATCTAGGCAAGTGTTGAAGGCCAAGTTTGGCTCTTGGAACTCTTTTAGAAACCCTCATTAGTTCTGTCTTGGCAAGCAGGAACAGGTAAGTTCAAGAAGAGGGCAGTATAACACGAAAATATGTTGCAGTGTTGTTGGATTCACAGATAAGATGCTCTAAGGCAAATTTTTCACTTGCAAGAAACTGCTGAGAGTGTCTGGATTATTTTTATCTTACACCTTTATCAGAAAAGGGCAAAGGGTACAAAGAGCATGATATTAATTTTATGGTTTCTCTACTAGAACTTTTCACTTAATATGGCCTGGGAAGAACACCTGGACTTTAGAGTTGCTTTTTTTCTCAACTAAGAAATTGAGCTGCTCTATTTGCATGCATTGATTTTGTACAATCTAGAAACATGTAAGAACAGCATACATTACCAAGATTTTTGAGCTCTTGAAACTATTAATAGATTGAAGTAATTAACTCTACCCTAAAATCTGGAGGTAAAGAGACTGACTCTCTTTTTTTAACAGTGAACCATGCATCAGTTTCTTAGTATCATTAATTTATGAATAAGATAGGTACTTTTTCCCCTCACAAAGTGACATTGACTACAATCTGCCATAACACGTGCCAACACATCTTCACGGTGAAAATGTAGCATTTCAAGCTCTAGTTAGGGCTGGTTATCCTTTTTTCACTTCACAATTTTGATGCTGCTGCCAGCAGTCTCTGCATTTGCTCTGAATTCCATCTTCAGGGCATCCCTTACTGCCTTCGCACAGATCTTGGAGTAGCGAATGTAGCTGAGTCCAGCCTGTCACCAGTAGGCCACCATGATGTCACAAGAGGGGTCACGTGTCAGACCGAATCGCTAGGAAAACAGCAATGTCGGCTCTCTCGGATGGCCCAGCAGCAAGAAGGTCGAGACTGACTCTCATAACAGATGCACAAGACCTAAGTTAATTTCCTCAGACTGTTGGACAAATGTTTCTTTGAGTGAACTTGATGCCTTGCGTAGGGAAGAGCCGCACATCAGGATAGACCACATGAGGTGAGTAAGGAGAAAGACAGAAAAAGTCCTTCAATGAGTATGAGTGGAAATCTTTCAACTTTCATAATCTCAAGAAGCTGCAACTGCATATAAAAAGAATACAGACAACTCTCCATTATTTATTTATTGTCTTAAAAAATTAAATCATTTATTTCTTTATTTATCTATTTATTTATTTGGTACAGGGTCTCACTATACAGCTCAGACTCCAGTGATCCTCCTGTCTCAGCCTCCCCAGTGCTGGGATTACAGGTATGTGCCACCACACCCAGTTTCAGGGCCTGCACAGCTCACATGGTTTCAGTGGTCAGCATGGTGCACCCAGGGTTCCGGGGCCAGCACAGCATGTGGTACCGGAGATCAAACCAAAGTCCTTGTGCTTGCCAGGCAGGCACTTAGACTGCCGAGCTATCTCCCCAGCCCCAATTCCCCCTTATTTAATAACCCACAAAAACAATTTATATGGTATGCATGCATCTTACTTTTCATTACTTCTTTCATTGTCCAATGTGTTATCATTTATTATTTAGTCTACCTATACTTGGACTTCAAAGTTTAATCATTTGGAAAATCCTTGTTGATAGCTGGGGAGGAAATCTGATCATAAGCCTCAAAAAATTAAGCTTTGGTGATTTTTACCCAGCTGGAGAAAAAATTTTTTTTACAAATTTTAGCACTCTAAAAAGATGTCTTCCCAGCCAAAGACTGAGTCTTTTGTGTAATTCATCCCTCCTGCTGCCACTGCCTGGAGGAGATTGAACCCTTCAAGTCCACAAGGATAGAAACCTAGCAGAATAAAGTGAGCAAAGAAATAGAGCCTGAGGGGCCAGGGATATAGCTTAGCAGCATAAGTGCCTGCCTGGCAAGCTCAAGGTTCTGAGTTCGATCCCTGATACCACAAAAAAAGAAGAGAAGAAGGAGAAGAAGGAGAAACAGAGACAGCAGGAACCAGTTCTAAACTTAAGTCTGAACTAGCAAGTATAGAGAGGCTTCAAAGGAAACTTTGCAATAAAAATATGGACCCTAACATAAGCACATGGCTGCTAGGAGCATCTATTTCCTGTCCTCCATGCTGAACTTCACCTTAGAGATCTAGCTGTAGCTCCTGTCCTACCCAATAAGATACCCTCCTTGTCCGAGGCTGCAAGAGTCCTCTCCCTCCTCCTTAGTACCTCTGTTCACTTCTCATCTACCTGCTGTCATCGTTAGCCTACTATGCCTATCTAGCTTTATTGATTTAGGACTTTCAGACTGAATGTTCTTTCTTTTCCTTTCTTTCTTTCTTTCTTTCTTTTTTTTTTTTTTTTTTTTTCATTTAGTACAGGGGATACAGGGTCTACAGGGTCTCATTACACAGATCAGACTTGTAGTGATCCTCCTGTTTTCAGCCTCCCAAGAGCTAGGGATTACAGGCACACGCCACCACACCAGGTCTCAATTGCCATCTCAGTGCACCCCGCGGGCAGGGCTGGCATGGCACTCCAGGGTTCGAACCCTGGCTGCTGCACTCTGCCTTAGCAGGCATTTTAGTCTGCTAAGCTATCAGGCTGACCCCAGACTGAATGTTCTTAAAGGCAGAGCCTGTCTTGTAGGACTTTTACAGACTCGCAACACCCTTTCCATTGTGCTTTGCTTTTTTTTTTTTTTTTCGGAACCGGGGATTGAACTCAGGCCCTTGCACTTGCCAGGCAAGTGTTTATTCTACTGAGCTATCTCCCCAGCCCCTCCATTGCTTTTTATAGGAATATTTTACACTCATCAAGGCTCATCTGTTATTTCACTTAGTGGGAATTAGAGAAAGAGCAGAAAGCCATTCTAGGTATATGGCCTTAGGAATCCAGAAGACTGCATGGCCCATAGTCCTCTCTACCCTGAAAGAATGACAATACCTTAAAAGCTTGAGCTAAAGGAGGAAATACTTTAAAGCATTACTGCTCTCCCGTATCTCCACACTCCTCCTACTGAAGGGCTGTCATGTGCAGAAGGGTTGTCATGTGCCAAAGAAATGGCTGATAAGTTTCTCAGGTTGTGTCCTACAGAGAAGGCAATGGACAGATTGCGCAGAGCATGAGAGCTGGAAGGGAGCCTCTGGGAGGATCTGGGGAACCAGGTGGCTGTGACGGGAGGACGGGAGGACGTTGTGTCCCTGGAAAGGAAAGTGAACAGAAAATGCCTGCAGGCAATGGGGGGAGACCAGGGCAGGGCAGGGCACCTGGCTAGAAGTGAGCTCTCTTCAAGCCATTTCAATAAGACTTTAAAAACAGACTGAACTCCTGAAGCTGAAAAAATCAGTTAATTCTTTTTTTTTTTTTTTTTTTTTCTTTTCTTTTTTCAGAAAGCAACCTTTGGGGCTGGTGAGATGGCTCAGTGGTCTAAAGCACCTACTTAGAACAAGCTTAGCAAAGCACAGGGACCACAGTTCAATCCCCCAGCACCACATGCCAGCCAGCCCCGCCCCCTGGTGGGCTGAGCTGGCCACACACACACACACACACATAAATAAATTTTAA